CGTGCGTGGAGCCCTCGTGCATGCGAAATGGGTATAGCCATGTAATACCAGTTGCTCCCTGGCGTGTTACTAATCAACAGGCGCCTTTGTCTCAGTCAAGATGATCACGTCATGGTTAAGCAGACCTCGCTCAGCCTTCATCGGGTCAAATCTGTCCGATGAGAAAGCATGCATGTCCAAACAAGGATCCGAATGCAATCGGCCCCCCGGCACGTTGCAACAGTTGATTTAGTTGCGGCTGATTGAGTGCAACGGCTGCTTTCTAACTTGTTACGTGGCCCCGGCCGAGGATTCTGGCCTACACAAACTCAGGTTTCTTTTTGAAAGGACGTGATAAGCATGGCCAGTGGCAGCGGCCGCATCCCCCAGTCGACCCGCTGCCCCGCCGCCTTCTCGGCCCCACATCCAGGCCCACAATGCGCGATAGCAGGGAGGCCAGGGCACGATTCTCGTAGCCCAGTACCTTCAAAAACAACCAAAAACAAGCAGGGCCACACATGTGAGCTTCGAAAGGATCCCCCGGCAGCAGCAATAGGAGCGATGGCAGGAGCTGCAGCAGCAGCGGCGTGAGAAAGCCTCAGAGAACCCCATCATTTTCACATACAGGTCGACGCATATACAGATGTGCGATACGGTACTGGTGGTGATGAGGGATAGCGAAACAAGTACAGATGGGTTCCCCTGAAGACTTGGCATCTGCCTGCCTACAGCGCCCCCCATCACGCTCCAGCCCTGTCCAGCCCGCGTTGCTGCCGCCACTGCCGCTGTGCCGGAGCCTAGTTGTTTATGGCAAAAGGGAATGGCGAAACGAAACCGGAATTAACACAAATCACGTAACGGTAAGCGAAACACCATCTCACGTTGCTTGAAGGCATAAATTGTGAAAGCTCAAAAGCATCACTTGTAAGACCCTTGAGAAGTTTTCTCTCCTCGCATCCACTCTTACCTGTGCTTGGGCTATCATCTGTGCGTCGGCGCAGTCTTGTAGCTCAATAGGGATATGTAGGGCATATCTAGGGCCAGGGGACCGGGAATGTACGACCGTGGGACCGGCGAGGGACCTAATTTATGTGCCTTCCGGTCCCCAGCCCATTCGAGCTCACATATACACCAAAAACTAAAGTATTCCCAATTTCTACGAGTGTTATAAGTAAGACGTTTAACGAAGAACATATTGACAAAGAATTGTGCCTTTACGTTCGCGTTTAGGCACAGGTCTGACTTTGGATGAGAGCAGGACATTTTGTCAAATTCACTGCTGGTTATTGTATTAGACTCGGTTGATATAAGAGTGTTTCACGCAAGAATGGGTACTAGCGAAAGGTAACCGCTCCGATGGCAGCGAGCACGATTGCGGTAACAGATAGAGGAGCAGCTGTGAAGGTCACAAACCCACGTGCGAGAAGAGCGTGGATGGTCAAGCAGCAAAGCCTCAGCAGGTACCAAACGGGTACATGTTTAGCGCAATCACAGAAGGCAGAAGTGTGGCGCCTCTCATGCGGCTCTCGCTTAGTTCGGTTCGCAGTCTTCTGTGTCCGCTGTGTTGCCTAGCCAGGGGCTGGGACAGCGCCCCGGTTGGCGTGAGTGAGGGGGTGAGGCGAGCGCGGCGGAACAGACGGACTTAGAGCCACGCGCCCGCCCGCCCCTGTGTTTCGGCCCGGTCATAGCCCCCGGTGCTTGTCCTCTCTCGGGGCGAGCCGCCCACAGTGTAACACCCCATCAGAAGCAGCGGCAGCTGGACAGAGCTCCCTGCCTCACGAGCACACAAAGCAAGTCGCCTTGACGTGGCGGCAGCTGTCATAGGCTCATGATGGGCCGGGGCTGCCGTGTGAATCCCTGGCAGGCGCGCGGCTTGCACTGCGTGTGATCTGATGATGGGCCGGGGCTGCCGTGTGAATCCCTGGCAGGCGCGCGACTTGCACTGCGTGTGATCTGATGATGGGCCGGGGCTGCCGTGTGAATCCCTGGCAGGCGCGCGACTTGCGCTGCGTGTGAAATCCTGCACACCCTACACTACACACATAACGCAATGCCCTCTAAGACCGAGAATTCATGCACTTCTTCACATACACTGAATGAATGAAGGTTACAGTGGACCCCCTGCAAGGTCGGTGCAACGCATCCCCGCATCACAATGCCCGAAAGTGAACAGTAGCTACAGCCCGCCAGCAGAACACCCA